CAAAAAAAGTTATTCGTGATGGATTTCAAGCGTGAAAGTATGATTTCTTTATATTTGGCTGGAAAACCACAACTGACTATTTTTAGAGCACTCCAACATTTAAATGTGAATAAATCCTTTTGTGTCTCGTATCATGGCTCTTTAACGTGATACTGGTAGCGCATCCTGACGTCAAGGAAGTGGACGGAAGAAAACAGCAACATCAGCAGAAATGGTTCGAAAAGTAAAGAAGCGACTTGATCGAAATCCGCGTCGCAGTAGCCGAAAAATGGCTCGTGAGCTGAACATATCGCAATATTCCATTCGCAAATATTAAAAAATGAGCTCGGGGTAGAGCTATTGAAATTCCAAAAACTGCAAGAACTTACACCGCAACAGAAAGAAAATAGACTCAAAATAGCTAAAGAGTTGCATCGCTTGGCCGAAAGTGGTGAACTGCCGAATTTGGTTTTCTCCGATGAGAAAACATTCGTTGCCCAGCAGTTTGTAAACAATCAAAATGATCGTTTACTTGCCGAAGAGGCCAGCTGAAAATGTGCACCTTCGGTTGGCCATCAGAACTCAAGCGCCGGCCATGGTGATGGTGTGGACCGCAAACACAGCCGATGGTCGCTCTCCGCCCGTATTAATCGACCGCGGCATCAGAATAAATGCCGAATAATTCAAAGAAATCTAAACTTATTTTAAAATTTAATGCTTTTTCCGAATTTTTTTTTTTGCTTTCATTCAATAAAATTTAAAAAGAAAATGTAAAAATTATGGCATTTGACTTTGTTGCAGTTTTTTTATCTCACCTTGTATAAACGGCCATAGAGTTATGACGATTTTTCAATTGCGTTTAAAAGTGTCTTTGAAATCGTTTATCTAAAAACAACATAAGAGTTTGAACTCGTCCATAAATACTGCTTCGGCGTCGGCCAAGAGTCGTCCAAAAAAACGACTTTAGAGTCGTATATTAAGGCTCCTTTGGAATCGTTTAAAACGGCAAATTTCGAGTCAACTGTATATACAACTTAAGAGACGTCCATATGGAGTTTATTAGTGTCTGAACACATGAACACATTTTTATATTTAAATGTTTTCTAGACCCCCATAAAATCAACAATAATATTTTTCCACATGATATAATTTGACTCATTGTTTCCTCTTTCTGATCCCATATTCTTCATAATTGATATGCACTATCGATAAGATACCCAAACACATTCCCGCAAATGTACTGATTTGTTAAACGATTAACGAATATCAAATCGCAAGACATGTCATTCGACAAGGCACTGAATGCATGTATAATTGTGGTTATGACTATATTTGTTACAATGGAATTTATTGAATTTATACAAAAATGCGTTTTATTTAAATAATCAACAAACAGACGACTACTGCTGCTGCAATTGGTATTTGTGTGCACCATCATTTTTATTTTTATTTTAATTTTTTTGTTATAAAAATAAAATTGTCTTGATGACTTATGTAGTAGTAGCAGACAAACGCTTACTACATTAATTGCAATTAAAATAAAAGAAAACAAAAACGTTTTGTATTTTTAGTAACAACAACCTTGAATTACTCTGCAATACACGGTGGGGTATAGCTGCAATGTACTTTGTCGATCGATACACAAACACAGTGACTTACTCACTGCATTGCCTTTACCATCTGCAGTGGAAAGTAAATAATTTTCATATCACTTTCCTACTTTCAATTGCAGGTCGTTTTGATTTGCTTTTTATACCCTACACCACAAGGTGGTCAGGGTATTATGTCTTTGTGCATTTGTTTGTAACAGGCAAAAGGAAACGAGATAGACCCATAGTTCCTTTTGGTGATCTGCATAGAATCACTTTCTGAGTTGATTTATGCCTGTCAGTCCGTCTGTCCGTCCGTCCGTCTGTCCATGTATTCTTGTGAACAAAATGCAGGTCGCATTTATTATCCGGTTGAGATGAAATTTTGCAAACAACATTTGTTTGGCCCAAGGACAAACCCTATTGAAATCGGAGATAATCGGTATAAATTTAGATATAGCTCCCATATATATCTTAGTCCGATTTGCCTTTTATTGTGCACCAAACGTGTAATATTAGCCCGAATAGTATGGAATTTTGCACATACAACCAAATTAGGCCTGAAAATAAGTATGCCAAATTTTATCGAAATCGGTTCAGATATAGCTATAGCTCCCATATATATTGTTCATCCGATTTGTTATTTTTGTCCTCCGCAGCCGTAATATGCACTCTGTAACAACAATATTTGGGGAAATATATCAAATGCAGCTCAGAAATACCTTTGCTAAATTTTATCGAGATCGGTTCAGATTTGGATATAGCTCCCATATATAACTTCGTCCGATTTATTTTTGATTGTACACCAAACTTCTAATATTTGCCCAAATTGGATGAAATTTGGCACTTACGACCGAATTGAGTCTAGAAGCTAGTATGTCAAATTTGGTGAAGATCGGTTCAGATATAGCTATAGCTCCTATATATACTGTTCATCCGATTTGTCATATTTGTTACCCAAAGCCGTAATATGCACTCCGTAACAACGATATCCAAGGAAATATATCAAATATAGCTCAGAAATATCTTTGCCAAATTTTATCGAGATCGGTTCCGATTTGGATATAGCTCCCATATATATCTTTATCCGATTTCAAATTAATTGTGCACCAAATGGGTAATACAAGTCCGAATTTAAAAGACACAAATGCTTCGGCATATTTAGCCCTTTGAACTTTAAATTATAATTATAATCATAGCCTGTATGATTGAATTCTCCCATAAAAACTTTTAATTGTTATGCGCAGTGGTAGCAAAGTGGTGTAGGGTATCATAAAATCGGCCCCGACCAACTTTAAGACTTTCTTTACTGGTTTATAACATGGAAATGGGAGCGTGATATGCCAGTCCGTCTGTGCATGCATTTTTGTGAGATTGAGATGAAAACTTCCAAACAATATTAGTTTGACCCAAGAATGAACCCTATGAAACTGGTGAGAATCGGTTCAAAGTTAGATATAGCTCCCATATATGATCCGAATGACCTGAATTTTGACACACCCAATTCAGTTTAGAAGCAAGTGCATAAAATGTGGTGAAAATCGTATAAGATATAGCCATATCTCCCATGTATAAATGTTTCCGATTTGGGATTTTAAGACTCTCACATGCGTAATATGCGTTCCACAACAATGATATTTGGTACCAGATATCAAATACAGCCCAGAAATAAGTGTCTAAAATTTTGTCAAGTGCGGTTCAGATTTGGATATAGCTCCCATATATATCATTATCCGATTTCAGGTTTATTGTGCACCAATTGGCTAATATCAACCAAAATAAACTGAATTTTGGCACTTCCGACGGAATTCAGTTCAGAAGCAAATACATCAAATGTGGTGAAAATCGGTTCAGATATTAATTTGTGTTCTTAAGTCCCTCACATGCGTAATATGCACTCCAGAAGAATGATATTTGGTACAAAATAGAAGATACGGCCCAGAAATATCTCTGTCAAATTTTATTGAGATCAAATCAGATTTGGATATAGCTCACATATCCAATATCAGTTTTATTGTGCACCAAATGGCTAATATCAGCGCAACTGTACTGAATCTTGGCAATTCCAATTGATTTCATCGTAGAAACAAGTAATTCAAATTTGGGAAAATTTGGTTCAGACATAATTATAGCTCCCGTATATAAGTTTCATCCGATTTGGTGTTTTTATATAGATTCGATTCTCATCTAGCTTTAGATAGCTTCGTTAGATTTTTGATGAAATTTTTCATATTCAACTGAATTTTTACATTTTGTGAAACTTTTTCCGGCATTATTTTTTAATGTGATTCTTAACGAAGTCATATCAAGTACTAGAGGTACAAAATTGTTGAAAACCGATTCAGATTTGAATAAAGTTCCTAAATTATGGCTACTCTAAAGTCATGATACGCATTCAAATAAGGTTCATAGTTAGTATGATCTACTTCACATAAACTCCCAATATAATTTTTATACCCTCCACCATTCTATGGAGGGTATATTAACATTGTCATTCCGTTTGTAACTCCTCCAAATATTCATAATGACCATACAAAGTATATATTATGGATCTGCGTAAAATTCGAAGACGATCTAGCTATCTTCGTCTGTCTATCTGTTGTAGTCACGCTATTTTTCGATCGAATTGAGATAGAAGGCTAAAACTTTGCATAGTTTATCAGTAGGCAGGTGAAGTTCGTAAATGGACCTTGTCGGTCCACGTACCTCCCGATATTCGGTACTTTCATGATTTTAGGACATTATTTACCGGAATTATTTAAAATTTCGTATTTGAAGTTCGTAATAGGTACTACAGCCTATGAATAAAAATTTTTGTATGCAGGTTTTCGTATAGCCTCCATATAACGGTACCTCCAGATATTCAGTATTTTGATAATTCCAGTAACATTATTCACCGTAAACGTTTTAAATTTCGTATTGAAAAATCTTAATGGGTACTACAACTTATTGCAAAGAAATTGGTATGCAGGTCCGCGTCTTCTTATAGCCTCCATATGACGGTACCTCCCGATACTCTGTATTTTCATGATTCTTGCGACATTATTCACCGTTATTGTAACAAATTTCGTATCTGGAGTTTGTAACGGTTTTCATTTAAGTGGTAGTTTTCGGATTTTTTTTTCTGAAAATTTTCAATTTCCTTCGAAATGGTGGAGGGTATTTAAAGTTCGGCCCGGCCCGAACTTATCTGCTTTTTTACTTATTTTTGTTACGGGAGCTCTGCTAACTATGTAAAGTGGTGTAGGGTATCATATCGTCGACTTTTGACCTTTTCCTTCCTTTTTTTTTGTTGGTGTATGAGAGCATGAAAAGAATATAGGACGACAATATTCCCCAACTTGTTTGGCATATCATTTCAATTGTATTTAAATCTAGCTTTGTATTGCCTTCGAATCTCATCAATTTCAATATGTTTCTTATTTCTTTCAGGGGTTACAACAAATATACCGAAGATACCACATCACGTGACAGTGATTCACTTATCCAGGAATATGGCAACATCTCCACAGACGAAGTTAGCACATATTGTTGGCGGCATCCAAAGGTACGAGAAAATTGGCGCACCGTTTTGGCAGCTGTTACCCTGCTTATTGTGGGCACTGGACTCTTTGTGATGGGCACATTTGCCGTGGCAGATCCGGCGAATACCTCTCAGGGTGTTGTATTCTTTGTGGCGGGTCTAATCTGTTTTATACCCGGAGCCTATCATGTGGTCTATATATGGCTGGCGGCAAAAGGCTATCGAGGGTTTGATTTCTATCATCTACCGTTGTTTACATAAAAGTTTTTATTGCAGGAAAACAAAAAAGAAATAGAAAAAAAAACAAGAATAGAAAACAGGCCACACACTCTTTTACACCTACACACACATACAAAAGAAAGTAATCTCTACAATGTTTTTTACATTATTTTTGTACAATTAACAAAAAACAAAAACAAAATATGTATTTAGTTCTTAAAGAGAAAGTAATGGATACTGTTTTTAATGGTGGATATTTATATTATAATTATTTTATTTATTTTTATTTGTTTTTTTTTGTTTTTGGTTGGCCACAACAAAACAGGGTCAATGAAAAGTTGTTTTTTTTTTCAAAGTTTATTTAAAAGTGTACCCACCTTATTTTAATAAAACAAAAAAGCAAAAAGAGAAACAATGCAAGGCATGTATGTCCGCTGATGAAAAGTAAGAAAAAATACGAAAAATGTGTAGAAGTTGTATTCTTAAAAAAAAAAAAACGAAACAAAGAAAATCTCAAATGATTGTTCTTGAAATTAAATCAAAATTAACCCAATCGGGGTGAAAGATCTGCGGTGAAGGTGTTGAAGTCCACCTTGCTATACCAGCGTTAGTAGGTTATTGTTGTCCTACACCTTCATGGCATCGAAATGTGTATACCGGTCAAGATAATTTGTAAAATGTTTTATACTCTTGTTTTTTTATTTAAGATATGAATACGAAAGACTATATATATTTTAAATTACTCTAAGGCATAGTTCTAAAAACTAATAAAAAATAAATGAAAATATTTATATATATTGAAAATTATTATTACTTTTAATTTAATTAAGTATATAAAAAAACACTGCTAAAAAGAAACAAAAATAAAACAATTATGTTTTTTTTTAACGAAAAACTATTAAAAAATATCTCTTAATAACCAAAACGATATATTATGAAAATAAGCACTTGAATCCAACTGGCTAATATTTCCTTAAATGCAAAATATGAATACATCAATACACATGAACTAATTTATATTCACCCTCTCTGTACTACCTTATTCCTAACTAGCAATTTTCCATCTACAATTGGTTGGATGAGTAAACGTTTTTAATGTAACGAAATCACTATTTCTAGATAAATAAAATAATTATAATATAAAACATGTGAAGGATATAAGAACCAGAGTTGAGATTTGATCGTTCATACTCGCGAGTTTAAAATTCCTCCCCTTTTTATACCCTACACCACAAGGTGGTCAGGGTATTATGTCTTTGTGCATTTGTTTGTAACAGGCAGAAGGAAACGAGATAGACCCATAGTTCCTTTTGATGATCTGCATAGAATCACATTCTGAGTCGATTTATGCATGTCCGTCCGTCCGTCCGTCCGTCTGTCCGTCCGTCCGTCTGTCCATGTATTTTTGTAAACAAAGTACAGGTCGCATTTATTGCCCGATCCAGATGAAATTTTGCAAAGGTCTTTTGTTTGGCCTAAGGACGAACCCTATTGAAATTGGAGATAATCGGTCAAAATTTGGATATAGCTCCCATATATATCTTCGTCCGATTTGACTTTTATTGTGCACCAAACGTGTAATATCAGCCCGAATTGTATGGAATTTTGCACATACACCCATATTAGGCCTGAAAATATGTATGCCAAATTTGATCGAAATCGGTTCAGATATAGCTATAGCTCCCATATATATTGTTCATCCGATTTGTTATTTTTGTCCACCGCCACCGTAATATGCACTATGCAACAACAATATTTGGGGAAATATATCAAATACAGCTCAGAAATACATTTGCTAAATTTTATCGAGATCGGTTCAGATTTGGATATAGCTCCCATATATAACATCGTCCGATTTACCTTTTATTGTGCACCAAACGTCTAATATTTGTCCAAATGGGATGGAATTTGGCACTTATGACCGAATTGAGTCTAGTAGCTAGTATGTCAAATTTGGTTCAGATCGGTTCAGATATAGTTATAGCTTCCATATATATTATTCATCCGATTTGTTATATTTTGTACCCACAACCGTAATATGCTCTATGTAACAACGATATTCAGGGAAATATATCAAATACAGCTCAGAAATATCGTTGCCAAAGTTTATCGAGATCGGTTCAGATTTGGATATAGCTCTCATATATATTTTTATTCGATTTCAAATCAATTGTGCACCAAATGGGCAATACAATTCCGAATTTAAAAGACACAAATGCTTCGGCATATTTAGTCCTTTGAGTTTTAAATTATAATTATAATCATAGCGTGTATGATTGAATTCTCCCATAAAAACTTTTAATTGTTATGTGGAGCTCTACTTAATTAGCAAAGTGGTGTAGGGTATCATAAAGTCGGCGCCGCCCGACTTTAAGACTTTCTTTACTGGTTTATTATGTGGGAGCGCTCGTTAGTTATTCCCTCTAAATAATAAGGGTGGCAGTCAAAAAGTTGTATCAAACTGTTTTTATTTTTATGCGTGGGGTCTCCCCTCCCACTCCCAAGCATATGAAATCAGCGTACAGAATACCATATTTGCTTTGGGTTCTCGAAAAATATATATTCTTGATGAGAATAATGTTATAAAGCGATTAAGCGATGTCCGTCCATCTGTCTGTCTATTGAAATCACGATAGAGTCCACATTAATCGAGAGCGTTAAAATTTGGCACAAAGGTTTATATTGTATGCAGGCTGGTTGGTATTGAAAGTGGGCTATATTCCACGTCCACGTTAAGGTACAGGGTGATATAGAAAAACTGCAACAAACGCAAACGCCATTATTTTTACATTTTTTTTAAAAAATTTATTGAATAAACGCAAACAATGTCGGAAATAGCATCAAATTTTAAAATAAGTTTAGATTTATTCCAAATGGTCACCTTTGGCACAAATTATGGCCTTCAAACGGCCAATGAAACCGTCACACGCTGCCAGAATGTTGCTCTGCGGTATTTTGGCCCATTCTTGGCGAAGCGATTGCTTGAGGTAATCGACACTTTGGAATTTATACCAACGGATTGGTATCCGGAGAATTTGGTGGCCATTGTGCGCTGGAAATGTTTGCGTGCCCAAGGCTTTAATACACCCTCCAGAATATTTTGACCACTTTGTCAAGTAAACACGATCATATTGTTTGTTTACAAACAGCTATACAACGAAAGTATTCTCATCGACAGTTCACCACATTCGGCCAAGCGAAGCAACTCTTTAGCTCATTTGAGTCGATTTTCTTTCTGTTGCTGTGTAATTTCTTGCACTTTTTGGAATTTCAATGGCTCGGGGTAAGCTCATTTTTCAATATTTGCCGAATTAAATAATGCGATAAAATCAGCTCACGAGCATTTTTTCGGCCACTGCAACGCGCGTTTCGATCAAATCACTTCTTTACTTTTCGAACCATATCTGCTGATGTTGCTGTTTTCTTCCGTTCACTTTCTTGACGTCGGGCTATGCTACCAGTATAACGGTAACGAGCGATGGTACGAGACACTCTAACGATAGCCACTTGTGGTATTATCACGCTTTTGTACGCTTGTAAACAATATAACAAGCTGTCACTGGAATAATTTTAACAGCTGTCGGCTTAGAAATGACAGCAGTCTGAAGATGGTTGCAGTTTTTTCATATCACCCTGTATAGCCCCATATAACTGTAAATCCAGATTTTTGGTACTTTGAAGGGTTCTGCCACAATTTCAACCAAATCAGCTCAAACTTGACAATAATAATAGGCCTGCTCTCTCAGTGCAAGAAATGTTCGATTCAAGTCCACTAATTCGTATAGCCTCATACAACGGCACCACTCGATGTTCGATATTTTGAACGTTTCTGCCACAATTTCCAACCAAATCAACTGAAACTTAGCATTTGGGGTTCTTGGCAGATCTGTTCTTTCCCCGCAAAAAATATTCGCTATAGGACCACTAATTGGTATAGCCCCCTAATAACGGTACCTCCAGATATTCTGTATTTTGAATGTCTCTACCAGAATTTTAAAACAAATTAAAAGATAATATGGGTTTTCTTATTAACCACGGCCCGCACCTCTTGAATAACTGCAACCCTGATAAACAAATTAGCGATTCCACTCAAACTTAATATATCACTTAACCAGGGATCTCAGATGAAAAATGAGCATTTTCGGCCCACATCTTCTGATACCACCTCCTCCACAAGAGGTCAAAAGTTTGATAAAATCATAAATCTCAAAATTTGCTATAGGAAGTTTTTGTTGGTATATATTCAAAATTATCAATTTTTATTCAATTATTTGACTGAAAAATGTTCCTCTTCGTCAAGTAGAAGGACTTTTTGAATTTATAACAGCCAACACATTTCGGAAAATTTCGTTGATCAATCGAGGCATAAAAATCCGCAACACAAACACAAAACAAAACTCAACACTGTAAAACGTTCCCATAATTCCAAACTACTTTCTCAGTGCAATCAATAACTTTAGATAATTATTAAGTAGTAATTTTGGAAATCGAAGACAAAACTCATCCAACCAACGTCCTAAGTCATCAAATTCGAAATTTCCTCTATGCCCTTTTATATATTTTTTTAGCATCCTAATTTTCTTTCAAATATATATTAAGCATTATATATGGGTTGTATAGACAAGAGAAAAATACTAATTTATAATATAGAACAAAAAAATCGACCTAATTTTTTTTACACATACTTAAATTTTTCTATTATACATACATAGTATACATATGTAAACATTCGTCATTAATTTTTGTTTTGTTCATATATACTTTTAGGTTTTAAAAGATAAATCTATTTTATTTCTTTCACTTTTGGTAAAAAAAAATTAAATTAAAACCAAAAACAATTAATTTTAAATTTAGATGCTCATTTCTTCAAAAATACATAAACATTATTATTTAATTGTAGTTTACGACAAAAAAAAATATTTTTATAATGAATAAATCGGAAGAATTTTGTTTGTCAAAAATGAAAACTGTGCGATAAACTCATACAAAAAGAATATTTAATACTACGAGAAAAAGAAAAACAAAAAACACCAATTTATAGAAAATTCGAAAATAATAATATTTTTTTATCAATTTAAAAGTTTAATTTATTTGTTTTATTTACTTTTTTTTTGGATATTTTTTTCACCTTTTTCACACTATGCAACAACTATCTAGAGTTCAAATATATAAAGAGTCTCTGTCTTGTTTTTCAAATTATGACAGATAAAAGTATTGAAAATTGGAACCAGAAGGAACCCGAAGGGGTTCGCAGATATATATCATCTTCACAAGAGATTTTGTGCTAGCAAATATGTTTGTTTGTACCAGAAGGAGTGGACCGATATATCCCATCTTCACAGCAGATTTTGTGTTAGAAAAAATAATGTGATGTGGGAAATATTTAGAGAATTGGATACTTATTTCGGTTTTTATAATCGTTTTGGTTATTCAAAACCCTTTATGGGGAAGTACCAGAAGGAATGGTCCGATCTCTACCTCTCTTTATAACAGATCATGTGTTGACGGAGATATTGAGATGTGACAAGTCTGAATAGAATCTGATACTAATTTCGTTGTATGAGCTTCTGGGATATTGAAAATGTTGACCCTTTCTGGGGGAGGTACCGGAAGGAGTGGACCGATATATTCCATCTTCACACCAGACGTTTTTTTGTATTTTCAATCGATTTGGTAGTAACAAACTTTTGGCCATTACTCTTAGAAAATTGCACGTCTTGAGAAAGCACCAAAGATTGTTAAGCCACCAATAAACATTCCATGCTTGCTAGAGAAAAATAAATGAAACAAGTAAAAAAGCAGCT